CCCGATATTGAAGAAATCGACCGTCCACGCGACAGAAGAGATCGTGATCGTGATCGCGATCGGGATCGCAAAAGACGGCGGTCGCGAAGCAACGATCGCGATCGCGATAGGGATCGTAAGCGAGACAAACGGGATAGGGATCGTGATCGTAGGGACAGAAAGGATCGCGGTGATCGTCAGGATGAGGATACGAAAGAAATCCGTATTAAGGAAGAACCGTTGGATGGTAAATTTGAAAAAGAGATAAATTTCAACATTTTAAAAAGAATGAATATCCAAATGTTAAATTATCTTCTAGATTATCCAGACTATAGCACTACATTTACGACGTCGGGCTCATATTTCACCGCAGTCAAGTACGAAGACGATAATGATCAGGAAGTGGAAGAGAAATACCGGATTCCGGAGGGTCGTTCCGACCCACCAGCATATAACAATTACGATTCCGTACAAGATTATTGATCTCGAACAGTACATGTTTCTATCGTATCCCTTTTTCACAATAAGCCATCGCTTTATTTTATCGTTGCATTGTCTTTATTGTTAACATAATACTGGCAAATTAGCTTTTTTAAGAGCGAATCAAGTTGAACGCTCTTCAACTATGAAGTACTCGGACAATTATTATAAATGTCATAAAAGAATTACACAAATTCTATAAAATATCGAATTTCTGTAGAACTTTCAAAATACCTAATAGTAAATAAAAAAGAAATAATTTATATTACAAAAAGAAAATTAAAAAAGAAAAGATACGAATTTACATTATCTAGTAAATTAAATTTTGATATAAGAAGCCGTTCAAAAAAATTGAATAATATTGCTGTATATATATTATTCAATATAAAAACGGCTGATAACAAATGAAAATTATGTACAAATCGCTTTATCATCTCTAAAGGTGACTGGCATTAATTAAACTATTATGAGGAAATTACGAAAATTACATATACAGCCATTTATTTCAATTTGGAGCACACTTTACCTATATTTTCCCTTTTTTCTTCCTATCATTGATGAGAGTATATTTACAACAAAAGAAACTTTGGCATATTTTAATGAATTAAAGAGTAACTGATATATTGTAGCAGATTATGAAACCTCATAAAGTATTTACTCATATCTGATTAAGTACTACATTGTTCAAAAAATAGTTATAATTTAAGTATCGGTCATTTACATATGTAATCGCGCGAACATAAAACACACTTTGACTTATGACTGCTACATGTATGTATTAATACGTCGGGTAAAAATAAAATATGAAATTAAATTGTTACACATGCTGTTTCTTGTTCTAAATGTTAGAAACTGTATCCGAGTACATTGATAAATATAATAATTTCTAATTTTTAATTCAAAAACTTGATTTTCAGGTATAATATACAGCAAAAGATAATGTCAGTTCGCGAAATAAAACGCAATTTTGATTTTATCTAACCTAGATTGCTCTGCAATTCTAGTAATCGATTTGTATAAGTTTGATCGCTTGATATACCAGAATGCCACGCAAGTGTCAAACGATTTCACAAGCGAAATAAAAGTGCAATCGATTTAATACGGTTTAATAAACAAAAAAAAATTAATGAAGAAATAAAAATATTTCTTACCTATTTTTTCTCAAGTATAATTTCTAATAAAAAATTATATTAATTACGTTGCTATCGTGTATTAATTATTTAATAATCTAATATTTTTTAAAAATAGAAATATACATTAAAAGTTTTTGTTTCGCGCGAAATGAGATAATTTTTTTAACTCACTTATTTTTGATACTTTGAATATTTCTAAGTTTATTGATTTCCGATATAGCATCCACACACAATATCAATATGCTAAATTTAAGGGACTAAATATTAAGCAATGGATGGAGAGGAAGGGAAGGGGAGTATGTCATTATTAATTGATACACAAATAATACTATCTCTTGAACTAATATTTGTTGCGAATTTTTTATCGTCTTGCTATATTTTTGTTAATTACTGCTCGATATGTGTGTGCTTACATTAGCAATTGCCTTCCGGAAATTCCAATCTCATTATTTTTCAATGTACCCCAAAATTACATCCTGTTCTATCGCGTTCGTCATTTTAAAAAATCAGTAACAATAAATTGTGCTCTTATCGATGTATTTTAATAATCTTTTTGATTATTCTCGACAGGATTGCTATCGTATAGATTTTTTTTTGTTTAATAAATCTTTTTTACAGAATGAATTTACTTCCTTGAATTTTTATAATTACGAGGAAAATTTGTCATAGGAAATTTAAGACTAAATAATAATAAAATATAGAATATATATAGAATTATATAATAATAAAATATATAAAATAAGAAAAAGAAAGGGTGTCAATAAGGCTGTTTTTGAACCACCTCACAATCACTTCAAACTGTGCTATTTTATTCCTGTCGATGGAACTCACAACTCACTAAAACCGTTTGTTATTCAAGCAATCAAGTCCCGAGAATGAGGCACTCTTACATCACAGATTTACATGGGATATCACGCACAGTCTGCTTCATTTCACCCTATTATCAATGAACCCCCACCATACTGTCTCAAAAACTACTCATATGTAGTGCATAAAATATATCGAAGCGATTATTTTATCCCTTTGCCATTACATTGAAATGGAGCTCTATATTAATCAGTACATCTTAATTTGACAAAGTATGTAAGCAATAATAGCTTATAAAAAATTGAACGATGAAACTGTATTTTAAAGTTGATTTAGAGAATTCAGGACATTTAGAAAATGTGATAAATATTAGGGAGAAGCTACTTCTTACATTCTGTGTGCTCGTGAAATTTTAAAAATCAGCAAATTTTTAAATCGATTCCATCTTATCTAATCAAATAGGTTTTTAAATCGGTTCCAGCTTATTTAATCAAACAAATCTTCATCTTCCTCTGGTACAACTCAAATCGAGATGATACAACAGAAGAGAGTTACCATTTTTGAAAATAATATTGAATTTTTGTAACACTAGCTTTATGCAATTTTTCATGCTTTGAGCAGAACTGTCAGATTCCGACTTGCAGTTCAATTAAGAAATGCAAACATAACTCTTTGTATTAAGCATTCCTTGCCTTTAATTATTTATTTAGCAATTGTTCTAAGTTTAGAGTGGTGTTCGGCACATAGCAATAGCGGAAAAGCTCTTTCGCTTTTATTCAAATCAACATATTCTGATTTCGCGATTACTTTTTCTATTCTATTTTATCACTATCTTATTCGATTCAATTAACGTTGTCAACGTAGATTTTATAGTATTATGCGCTATTTGTGTTCATTTGTTTAGTTACCGATTGTTTAGTTATTATCAGAATATTTTGATGTGAATCAAGCGAAAGAGCTTTTCCGCTATTGCTATGTGCTGAACACCACTCTAAACTGTTGTGAAAGAAAACAGTTGAAAAGAGAAGAACAATCGGTAACTAAACAAATGAACACAAATAGTGCATAATACTAAAATCTACGTTGACAACGCTAATCGAATAAGAGAATGATAAACTAATAGAATAGAAAAAGTAATCGCTAAATCAATTATTAGAATATTTTGATTTGAATAAGGCGAAAGAGCTTTTCTGCTATTGCTTTGTGTCGAACACCACTCTAAACTGTTAGAACAACTGCTAAATAAACAATTAAAGGCAAGGAACGCTTAATACAAAAAGCTATGTTTGCATCTTTTAATTGAACTCCAACCCAGAATCTGGCAGCTCTGCTCCAAGCATGAAAAATAGCATAAAGCTAGTGTTACAAGAATACAATATTATTTTTAAAAATTGTAACTGTTGTATCATCGATTTGAGTACTTGGAGAAGATGAAAATTTGATAAAATGGAACCGATTTAAAAACCTACCGATTTTTTAAGTCTCACAAGCATACAGAATGTAAAAAATAGCTTCTCCCTAATATTTATCACATTTTATAAATGTCCTGAATTTTCTAAATCAATTTTAAACTACAGTTTCATCGTTTAATTTTTTATAAGCAACATTATTGCTTACATACTTGGTCAAAATAAAATGTATTGATTAATACAGAGCTCGATTTCAATGTTGATGGCACAGGGATAAAATAATCGCTTTGACATATTTTATGCGCTATACAGGGTGTCCCAAAATAATCGCCAAATATGTCATGGGCAGATAGAGCGGAATAAACTGAGTCGAAAGGTCCTCTACCATTTGCAATTTTCGCAATAGTTAACAAGATATTAATTACTAAAAATTGCTGAAAATTGGTCTTCAATAATTTCTTACTCAAATACTATCAACTTTCAACAACAAAAAATCCAAAAAAACAGGGCGAATGAAAGTCAGCGTGGTAGATAATATGCAATTTTCGACAATTTTTAATAATTTATATCTTGTTAACTATTGCGAAAATTGCAAAATGGTAGAGGACTTTTCGACTCAGTTTAACCCGCTCTACCTTCCCATGAAATATTTGGCGATTATTTTGGGACCCCCTGTATATACGAGTAGTTTTTGAGAAAGTATGGCGATGGGGGCTCATTGATAATAGAGTGAAATGAAGCAGATATTGTAACTGTGCGTGATATCTGATATCCTATGTAAATCTGCGATATAAGAGTGTCTCATTCTTAGTACCTGATTGCTTGGATAACAAATGATTCTAGTGGGTTGTGAGTTCCATCGAGAGGAATAAAATAGCACAGTTTGTGAAGTGATTCTGATGTGATCCAAGAAACGGCCTTATTGACATCCTTCCTTTGTATCTCACAAGTAAGAAATCAATTTAATAATTGAATCGAATATTAAAAATGTGTAACAAGTGTTTGCGAAAAAAATACGTGTTCTATAAATATTATTGATATTTACGGTACTCCATTTTTCTATCGAATATCTTTTATCGAATATATTGATGGAATGTATTGATGGAATGTTTTAGAGAGTAAATAACTAGATAGAATGTTTTGAAATAGTCCTGATGATCTCTAGAGATTCGGTAAGCGAACTAGGTTGATGTTTAGTATTCTGGTGGCGGAAGCGATACTCACAGAGCAACGTGTAAGTTGATATAAGCATTGCGCTGATAGAGTTAGTCGAATGGACAAATTAATGGTAAGATCGTAGGATAGTTGATTGATAGTGAATATATTATGTATATAAAGTCTACACTTTCGTAGTTTCTATTATCTTGAAATTTATAATGTGCAAAGTAAAATAAAAATCGATATTAAGCATGCAGGATATTTATAAGTCCTTTATCTAACGTGCGTTATGCCAGGAAATCTTCTAAGATGTGTCATATAATACGTGAGAGCGTTGAAAATATGTAAAATAACTGAATTTATTAATATTATTATTCTATCTCGGACATAAATCAAAGTGAAATGTACAATTTATGTTTCCGTGATTATAATTCAATAATTGTAATTTAATAATTGATTAATATATATAATTACGCGTTTATCATGATCAGTAGGCAAATGTACACTAGTTTTAATGGATTGAATGAACAATATTATGCATTGAAAATTGATGAAAGCAAACTTGGATAAAATTACGAAAACGATTTATTCCTGATTTAATGTCGTTCGTCGATCAGGTCAGCAAAGTCATAACTTCCACGCGGGATTCCTCGTGGCGCTACGTCACCATTTTGATTTCTTAGTATATATATTTTTTAGTATAA